CCAGTACTCGGGTACCACACTTACCCGGGGGTTGAGTTCAAGCTTATTAGTACCTACTTGGACGGGATTTTGACCAATACTGCATTGCCTGGTTCTTTTGATCATCTGCCTCCTGAACAGATTATCAGTTCAGTGGTTCTCCTAACAGAAGCACTTGTCAAGGCATGATTATCACTAGTTGATTTTGCCAATTCAAATTATTCATTTTGCAGCGCCACTTAGCTCTTTTCATTATGAAAGCTCTGGGGCATACACAGAAATCGCTGGCCTCTTCAAAATCACCAGTACCACAACTGAAACCAGCTACAAAATTACTGAATGACATGAAACTGGAGCAAGGAAATTCAAAAAAATCTGATGATACAGCCAACAAACAGAATGTAAGTTCCCTCTTTTTTTTCGAAATCAAAAAAAAAAGATCCGTACTCCAATTTCATTTTTTTTACAACTCACCCTTTTTTGAGGCTTGTTTTGGAAGCGAAATAATCAATAGTATATGCATATTTTTTTAGCTGTTTTAAAATTTGTCACTTTGTCGAATAAAAGGGTAGCAGAAGCCCAGAAAGGTTGCTTTTCCTTGTAAATTAGTTGAGGTATAGAGCCATTTTATGTAAGAATTCTTTTTTTTAAGCATAGGCTATTTTTTTTTATTTATTTATTCACTTTTTTCAAGTATTCATACGAACAAGAGCCCCCACACTTCCGGCCAAACGAAAACTGTTCCTAAGCGCCTCGCTAGACAAGAGCTTTTTTCCACATGTTTTGTTAAGTAGGGCTTTTTTTCAAGTATTTTTTGGAATAAGAACTGTTCTCTGATATTTTGCCAAGCGAAGTCTTTTTTTTTTAATATAGGCTGTCAGAGCGCTTTTTAAAGTGAGAAATTTTTTTCAATTTTTTCTTGCAGTTTTTAAAAAAATACCTTTTTTTAAGAAGTATCCATATTTCGAGATTTGAAGAAAAGCATTACGTCAAATGAAAGGTTTTCGAATTATGCGGAGGGACAAAGATCTGTACGGTACTTTGTAGTTAAAGGACACCTCATATAACAAGGTGGTCATTGGCCTTCCTACCCCTAACCACACTTCACACTATTTGTGCTTACAGCTTAAGGATGAAGCACAGGCACACAAACTTCTACATATTCCTCTTTACATGTCTCTTCTACATGCCATACGGTTTGAACTACATTAACAATCCCTTTCTCTTTCCCAGCATATTCCATTAACTAATTCCACTCCCACACCAACATTTTTGGATTTCGGCCATTTCGTATTTTCTACAGTTCGGACTGGTCGTTGCTTTAGAACGTTTGTTTGGGCCTATCAGCGGCGAAAAAATTTTCATCAGAAATTTTTATATTTTCACGCAGTTCGGCCGCCTCACTTGGACCGTCCATTTTACATTCAACCATCTAATGGCCCTTACATTCCCTTATTTTTGTTAAGATGGGATTTTGTTTAGTTTACGGGTAGTGGTATTGTTTACTGTCGTACACGAGAGGAATGCGAATTAATGGCAACACGTTTGACTGAAGAAGGTATCCCGACATTCGCATATCATGCCGGTTTGGGCAATAAGGTTTGTTCCTTTACAGCGCTTGTTTCTTCGGAGTTTTTTTTTTTTTTTTTTACTCGCGATCATGTGTAGATGGCGAAGCAAACGAGGCATGGGACTTTTTTTTAGAAAAAAAAATTTTGTTTTGAGAAAATTGATGGCGATTTCTTGATTGAATTTTTTTTAATGTTTAATTGAAACTAAAAAATTCTACTCAGTTCACTGTTTAATGAATAAAATACTTCTTTTTCAATAGCCCTCATTCCCCCTTATCTTGCTTCCCCCCCATCTCCCTCAAAAAAACACTAAAGGTGTTTCTTCCTTCTCATTCGGTATTAGCGTAGGCTTTTTAAAAAACCCCG